AAACAGCAGAAACGTTATTGTTTGTCGTTTGGCATGGTGGGGTAGAATCCAACACTGGTACCCAAGGTGCGCCATATGTCACCCACATGGGGAGGAGGAGATGCTAATGCTGGAGAAACATGGGAGAAATTGCCAGAGACACTACATGTAACCTATATCCCAAGGTCCCAAACTCCCTGTTGGAAACCTGGAGGGCATGATTGTAAGTCATTCGTACAAGAGACTGGAGTTAATACAGACCGCTTCTAGATGTGGTTTGGGGATCCTGTAGAACACATCATAACTGTTCTTTGATATGCAGATAAACATTTGACAGATTACAAGTGTTCATAGAGAGACTTTCTACCTCTATCAGGTGGAATAAATACACTGCAAATTGCATACTGCACATAAGTGTGGTTATCCCACAGTTTGACACAAAACTGTCCCTGAAGCCTTGCAAAAAAGCAAGATCTGTAGCATTGACCTCCTTACAACTATAGATAGCTGGTATGTTATGTATCTACCACATATGTTTGTAAAATAATTTGAAACAACCATAAAGGTGGAATTCATCTGCCCTAACTAAGTCATTCAACATCTGGATGACTAAATCTAAACTACTCACTCTTGGCTCCCTTTGTTATTAATAGAGATAAATAGATACTGTCAAAAGGCAATTCCATCCCTTCAGGCAGTACCTATTTGTGGTTTTTACTGACAATAAAAGGATCCTAGCTAGGACTGAGATATTCAGCTTCAGGAAGGGCAGATAAATCTCACAAGTGTCTGCAGAACTGCTGATACAAATTGGTGAGATTCAGAGAAACACAGTAGTTTTCTTCTTTCTCCATTGGGTATAAATTAGTGGCGAAGGACACCAGAGAGGTGCAGCCGGTCACTCCAAAGGTGATGAGAACAGGGATCATGGTGGCCACAGTCTCCTCTGTGAGAAAGAGACTCTACCTACCAGCAGTCTGAAGGTAGAAAAAAGGACATCTTTACTCTTTTTATTTATGATTTTCTCATAGGATTGAGTTGCCTTTTTGTCTGTCTGCCCTGATGTCAGTGCTAACCTTCCCCTGCCTGACTGCCACCTGTCTCTCTCCCACAGACATGTTCAAGCCACTGTTTGTCCAAGATCTCTTGTTGGTATATTGTTTTCCTTTCCAAGCTCTTCAGCTTGCTTTTTTAAGCATCGATACTCCAATGTCATTTATTCCTTGTAAGCAGCACACCTCAGGGGAGCCCGACCTGACCGACTATTCCTTCTTGCTGAAGGAGCCAGGGGGACACCACCTTCTGGTCCTCCTGCATCCACATTTTCAAGTCAATCTGAAGTCTAGAGTGTAGTCCACAGGCAAGATGTCTTTTTGACTTTTGTCGTAAAATGAATAAGTAAATAATTTAGACCAAATTTTCACTGCCTTCTCCATCTTATTCCCAAGATGAAGGGAGTCTTGCTGTAATATAGGTGCATGTGTAAGGCACTGAATAAACATTTCCAGATACTGTGTCTTAACAACACACATTCATGGATATATATAAACATTGAAAGAAGCAGCCCATCTAAGTCACAGAAGAATATATGTGTTTAAGCATAAAATATCCTTGCAAAATGAATCTGAGATATCATACAATGGGGAGAAAGAAGAAATTAAAAGCATTGAGTGTTGAAACAGACTTTTGTGATAGAAAATAATTCCTCTAAGAATTACGGGTACCTCTTGTCTGCACAAAGTATGATGCTCATTACTGTGGACCATCATTGCACTTTCAGTTCCTTCTACATTCCCAACTACAGAAAGAACACCAATAACCAAGCCCCAAGTACAAACCACCCTTGAACAATTCAGTAATGGCACAAAGGATCATCCTTCCCTGAACTGCATTCTTATAAATCCTACTCCCTCTAACTGCTGGCAAGAATAGTGTGCATGTTATTTTCTGTGCATGAGCATATATCTATGCTTAAGAATTATCTTTGCATGCATACTCCATTTGTGATCTTCGTAGACACAACCAGCACAGATACCAGGTAATGCCTCTTCTGACAGTACATTTGATGGCATGGAGGTCTGTTACTCACTGTCTCAGAATGTAAAAATTGCCTGGGGAAAACTAAAAAATGGCAGCACTGGAAACACCTGCAGATGAAAACAGAAGCTTAATTTTGCTGCAGAAGTCTGAATGCATTTCACAACATGCACATGATGGAGGTGAAATCCTGCTCCTTTGAGGGAGCAACAGGGTGTATGATGATGACAATGAGGCAAACAATTTGGTCCCACTGAACTGCAGGTGATGGTAGTACAATGCTTTTCTGAGGACAAACATGAGTTTTGTAGGTCATACAGTGGTGGAATAAGGAAACCAGGAAATAAGAGTTTCATGCCTGCAATGCATTTCATGAGGATGGAACTAGGCAGGTTGGTAGAACTCCATGAAGAGGTGGATGCATAGAGTTCTTCACCTCTTAAAAAACAGCCTGAGTCATTGAGGGATGGATTTGTCTCACCTAATTTTATCTATTTAAAAAAAATAGATATTTTGTCCAGCTGAGTCAGCAGAATATCTGGCTGTTCACAGAGAGAAAAACTATTATTGATGCTGACCTGAAACTGGTCTGAACTCAAGATAATTTGGGATGGAAACGTCAATTTGCTGCTGGGAAATCCTAAACTTAGTTTTCAGGCAACTACTGTTAAGTGAGATAAACTCCTTTTGAAGGGAACTCAGATCAGATCTGATGGGAGTAGGATACCTTAGGTCTTCTGGAAACCTTATCTAATATCTGGGGTCATCTCAGATGTTTAATCGTCTTTGAAAACTGAGCTCTGAGATCCTGTGCTTTCCACTTTTATTTGTTTCTTTAAAATGACTGGGTTTATGGGTGGGATTAAGTCATAGTGGTTGAGAGAGCCTAAAGATTTATGAACAGCTATGAAAAAGTTATGGGCCATAGTGTTCTTGAGGTGGCTGCAGGCTGCATTTGATGCTTCTCCTATTGTGCTTGTGATAATGTGTAAGTTCATTCAGAAGACCACAAAGAAGAGTGTCACTTTATAACTCACCAGCCTGTGAGGTCAATTAACTTCCAACTAAGTTCCACTTTATGCTAAACATGGCTTTGAAGCTGAAGATAAAAAATTGAAAGCCAATTTTTTTTTAATTTTTTATTTTTAGTCTAACATCTGCAGATTTTCCTCTATTAAGAATCTGTAGCTGTGGCAGCAAACTGCTGAGCACTACTTCTCAAAAATACCACAGTTTGAGGTACTATTGGTAAGTGTTATTTAAAGTATGCTTAGCACCCAGCAAACAATTAGTACAGATATTGCCACCTGTAGATAACACAACAATAAGAAACCTAAGCTGCACCAGTAAAAAACTTAAGCATCATTTCCAGTAAGGACCATGAGTAGGATATCTACTGTTTCCTGGATAATTTAATCCAGGACCTACTTAGCCAGGCCTTTGTCTCTTGCACATGGCAAGCCTTTAGTGAAAGCAACTAGAATATGTGAGCCACTCTCTTGCCCATGGAAAAAGAGAGACAACCTGGTAGTATAATCAGCAAAGGGCCGATAGCTTCAATTTTAAAAGATGGTGTTTCCTAAATTAAAAAACATTGCTGTGTGTAGTCTGTATGTTTAAGGGAAGTGTAGTGCCAGACATTTCAGCTTGCAGTTACAGCAAGGCAAGGATGCTGGTGAGCTCTGCCACAATCCACCCTGGGTGGCTGTAGTAGCATCTTCAAGGGAAGCAGAGAGGGGGTACACATATGGTTGGTGAGAGAAATCCAGGATTGACTTAAGAGGCAAAACAATATAAACACTGAATATGAGGGGGAAAATATTTGTCAAAACTCACATCCTGAGAATCTGGGTCCTAAGTGAATCATTTGTTTATCCCACCACCAACCCTGGCTCTGCAGCAAAGCAAGCCAAAGAACGTCTCCCTTATTGTTTCCATGATGCTTAATCATCTACTAGCCATTCCCCTTTTAGATTATTCTATTTTTAAGTTATAATTTCCATCTGTTCTTTGATCTTATACCACATAAGACATTTAGCTAATAACATCATCCATCAAATACCAACTTTCCTTTAGAGTTCAAATGCAATTGACACAGGACCCTGTCCATCTGCTGGACAGTGCCTCTGAACAGATCCAGCTTGTGAATGACCAGCTATGTTGCCTGTTTTTTAATTAAGCAGATAAGGTCTGTGTTTCCCATGATGCCACAGGACAGCTACGGGGCACTCCAAAGGGAAATGTGGAGATGAGAAGAGCATTTGGTGCATCCAGAGCTGTAATGTGCTTGTTATAAGTGGGATTTTTGAGTGGATGGAGTCTGCTTTCAGCCCCTCGGTTTGTTTTTGTTTTTATTTGCATAAACCCACAGTATTTATATAAAAGGTTTGAATAATAACAATTTTCAAACTCGGCATTCTTCAGAGGAAGGTGAGTAAAGCAGAAAGATGATGTTTGCTTCTGTGAGCAAACTTTTGAATTTATTTGAGAGAAACTTTAGCATTTCAGGGCAGGTTATCTGAAGCACCAGAATTGCATATTTGCAGACAAGTATTTACACAGAAAATGCTTGTCTGCCTACCCAACTGGAGAGCCAGGGGTGATTTAGGTGACCAATT